GGACACTTGACTTTTCCTTAACGAGCGTTTATACAAATCAGTTCAAGTCAGTGGCGGTAGTGGTGGTCATGATGAGATTTGATCATAAAAAGAGTCAAAAGTAAAATAAACAATTATTTTCATAACTTCTAATGGAACATTCGAGACCTAGTGAAACTGTCAGAGAAACCTGAGAATATCTGGGGACTTTATAGCAACCATCACATGTGCTATGAATTATGTTTGACACTGCTAATTCATTACACTCCTATTTTCTGTTTTATTCTATACTTACCAAGTAGGCTTCCCTGAGCACCTAGATTAGGTTAAATCCCTCAGCTGCATAGATACTTAACATCCTAGGCTTCTGTTACCCTCACACCTTACCACAGTTTATTATAATTAATTTAAATATATTATATTCCCTGAGGGTAAAAAGTATATGTGTCTTGCTTACTCAATATAGTGAGTTGAATTAATGTTTAGCTTATTAGTGTCTTACTAACTGGGACAGTGTAATAAATTAGACTGTGAAGTAGAGACAAAAACACCTTGAAATCGCACTTGTATGAAACTATAGTGAAAATCTTGCCTTAGACGTGCCCTAAGAAGCAGCTTGTAACAATATAGAGACAAAAATAGTATAGAAAATAGAATCTTGCCTTTTATCCCATTCTGCCCTCTACACACCAGCAAATTCCTTTTTCTCTCTCTGATTCTTATAGTCTATAAAATCTTAGAAGGTACCATACGGCTAAAGTAGTTGCAAGATTTATTATAGCTATATAAATGTAATGTCAACCTTGACTTTTGTGTTTATGCATTAGGTGTAATCTACAACATGGTCTCTTGTCAAATAGAATAATTCTTGTCTGTGGCGTATTGGTATCAATGCCGAACACTCAAAATAACCACAGGTTATTACTTAAACAAAGAATGTGCTCACAATCTGCTCTCCTCTGGGAAATTTTAATATTAACGTAAAAATTTTTTCAAAAAAGTCCTTTTACATTAAGGCAATATTCAAAAGTTAGGCAGGATAGGTTGTAGAGAAATATACAGCAACACCTAGGATAGTTCTGAAGAAGAGACTGCTAATTCCTGAAAGAACATTTCTCTTCCACTACATAGCTTCTATTAATGAGAACACATTCACGTTCCTTTAAGTCCAGCCTAGTGTGGTTACAAATCGGACTGCAAACCTTAAGGTCAGCGGTTCGAAACTACCAGTCGCTCCGCGGGAGAAAGATGAGGCTTTCTATTCCCGTAAAGCTTTACACCCTGGGAAACCCTGTACAGGATTGCTATGGGTCAGAACCGACTCAACGGCACTTAACAACAACAACAGTTTAAGGTCCTATGACCCACACCCACTGATTCTGTCAGAGTTGTAGTTTTGTACTGGTAGAACCAACGTGAGACTTTTCAAGACAGGGAGTCCCCAGGTTATGGGAACGAGAAGTGCAGATGTGTGCCTGTAAGTCGAGTTTGTTGTAGCTAAGTTGGGTCTAGAGGCGCATGTAGTTCTTGCTTATCCTTATATTAGTAAGAGAAAAGGATGGAACTCTCTCAATGATGTTAAAGCCTTATATGAAGCAGCAAATGAGGATGATTGTGATGTGCTAGGGGTTGGTTCATTTGTTTCAAAGTGAGGCAAAATTTAAATAAGATAATGGGTCATGTATGAGGTGTGATTAAGTCCTATGCTAGTAACTCAGGGACTACCTTTATTCAAAAATGAGTATAGTTACTATGTTAGAAACTCAGGGACTGTCTTTATTTGAAAATGAATATATTATTATAAATATTCATGCTTGAAAGTTCTCAGCAACTTCTCAGAAATAAATCCTCTTTACCTAAAACCCTAAGAGTTCTTTCTTTTCTTCCTTCAATGCTAACCAATAAGAATCTTTTCAGCACCTACCTCTGTGAGGGCATGGAGTTAAAATACCTGGAGGAAGACTATGAAAATGTTCCTGAATAGAATTCTGATTTTTTCTAGAATTAAAAAGACAAAAATATAAAGAACTATAGATATTCAGAAGTGGATGGCATACCACTGGGGTTTTGACTTGAACACATAAAATAGTTCACTTGATAAGTGAGTTGCCTTTTCTTTTGATACATTCAAGACTGAATTCTAAATAGCTTAGCTACAAATCACTTGCAATTAATTTTTGGTAGTGGAAAAATCTCTAGGCTAGACTCCCCTTTCCATTCTGTTAATATTTTAGATGAGCACATAATATTAATAACCTATAAAGAGTACAAACCCAGATGCTAATGTAGCAGACAGAGATGGGTCTTGGAGTTGACAGCAACAGGAGTGAATGATTTGATGGAAAGATGTTGGGGGTCTAAAGGTGACGGGCTGCAGGTGCTCACCAGAGAGCATGCTATTATATGTAATCTTTGATGGATTACTCATTTGCTCACTGATCTATGCTGCTGCATCCATGCAAACTGTCATCTCAGCTGTATCTGTGTGAAAATGGCATTGGCACATTGGGCTAATTCATGTAATGTAATGAACAAATGCTTCATACATGGACAAGCATTAGGAAGAACACATTTTGCTACAGAAGTCTATGTTGTTGTTGTTGTTAAGTGCCGTCGAGTCAGTTCCGACCCATAGCGACCCAGTACAGGGTTTACGAGGGTGTAAATCTTTACCGGAGTAGAAAGCCTCATCTTTCTCCCGCGGAGTGGCTGGTAGTTTCGAACCGCTGACCTTAAGGTTCGCAGCCCGATTCGTAACCACTACGCTACCAGAGCTCCTTTTTACAGAAGTCTATACTGGTGGTCAATTCTTATGTTATAAGAAAACCAGAATACTGGAAGAGTTTTCTCAGAGATGTCTAGGACTTATTGAAAAAGAATGAAATAGAGGGAGATGGTATATGAAAATGCACTAATGTAGGGACTAATCCATAGGTTTTCATCTCATTAAAGTACATTGAACACACAATGGGTTCAAATTTTACTTTTTAAAGTAAATTATTCTCTGGATATTCTATTTCATGTCAAACTGGCATACCGGAAACATAATTGATTGAAAGTGTAAGAATTTGTTTTACATTAAAATAGACAATAATCACTGAGGGGAAAAGGGAAAGAAGCCAATAAAGATGTTCTTATACAAAGAATCCTGGTAGCATAATGGGTTACAAATTGGGATGTTAACTGCAAGATCAGTAGTTCGAATCCAATAGATGTTCCACAGAAAAAAGATGATGCCTTTTGCTCTGGTAAAGACAGCCTCAGAAACCCTCTACAGGGTCACTAAGTGTCAGAAAAGGCACCATGGCACATAGACACCACCACATTTTGGAGTCCTGGTGTGGTGCTGCAGTATAAATGCACTGGGCTGCGAGGTCAGTTTGAACCACAAGGCTGGTGTGTTCAAACTCACCAGATGCTCCTACGAAACCATATGAGTTGAACCGACTTGATGATATTTACCTACACAAAGTTAAGAAGGCTATATATGTTCATTCTCACTCATGTCTTGCTCCAAGATACAAAACTCACATGCCCACTTTCATCATTACATTGCAGGCTTTCTAAAGGCCATTTAACTGTTCTCAGTTAAGTAGTTTCAACCAAACAGTAGAAACAACCAATTAAAACTCCAAAGTATTGTTATGGGGTTTATGAGGTTATAAATATGCATTTTTAAAATTTTCCTTGACAAGAGTACTTTATTATTATTATTATTATTCAGATAGATTGCCAAATTAATCTAACTTCATCTGATATTTTCTAAAATTAAAGTTACCTTTATTTATATTATTATTCATGCTTCCAATAGTCTTAGCAAAGATAAAAATGTCTTAGCAAAGAATCATGCCATCTTTGAATTAAAAGGGTACCATAGTGACTAACTTTCTTATTTCCTCTTTTTGAAAGATGAGGCAAAGGCGGTCTAAAGATGCAAAGCAACTGACACAAGATTATACAGTTTTTGTCTTCCCATGGAAAGGAGAAAGTACATTTAAATTCATTCTCCCTGAAATGATTTCTGAGATTTTCTTAGGCTATTTCCACTTGAGTCTATCAACTCCAAAATCCTTTCTTAAACTTCAAAACCATTTTCCCTGGCCTTCCTAAGCATAATGGTGTGTCAACCAATGGCTTGCCTTGCCAAGATGAATGCTTGTAACCTAAGCACATCTATGCAGAGTGGGCTTAGATTTTTCTAAATTTCAACACACCTTAGATCTTTTCCTATCCTACTCAAATCTTAGACACTACAAGTCTTTTCTCCTGTGTCTGGTTTAAAAGTTTGCATAAATGATGAAGGTCCTCCGAGGTTGACAAATGCCACTGTTATTTGTACCACTATGCTCATCACCATGGAATTGCAGTAAATGCAATCAATTGTACTATTATTTGAAGACCATTTGACAGAGAGGAAGAAAACACATCTACTCTTTTGAGGCCTGTGTATTTTCTTGGGAGAAGCTGCCTACAAAATGTGTCCTTTTATCTTTGGATTGCTATTGGGGGAATCTCTTTTGGCAGTACAACCCTATAAATAATTTCTGCAACTCAAAAATGCCATGATTCACAGGGATTTTTCCCCACCTCCATTTCTCTGACTGTTTAAAGACGAGAAGGCTGTTCCGTGTCCACAAACTTTAAGTCTCCTCCACAAAACGAGACCCAAAATGTGCATATGTGAGCAAAAAAAAAAATTCATCATTGAAGTTTAAGGAAGAAGTTGTTTATAAATATCTGTGGAGGCATCAAAAATGGAAAACAGGAGAGTGCTGTGGATTCTTTATGAGGCTCTTTGGAAAATTCTCAGAGTAACTCACAACAATTCAACAAGATTTCATCACTACAAGTCATTGGAGAAGCCAAGTTGGAACAATCTTTAACAGGGATATCCCTTACACTATACCAGAAGGCTTTCAGAATATAAAAGAAGACAACTTGCTAATAGAGGTTTTGTCATAATAACTTCTGACACTCGCTGTACCAATATCTCCATTACAAAAGCCACTTAAAGGTCTTACCTATAAAGAGATTCCACTCGGTGTCGAGATCAGCCTGATTCGCCAAGCACCCCTTCATTACGTTGAGGCAGTAGTTATTGCACGGTCTCACAGAGGGAAGTCCGCGGCAGTATGGGCAGTACAACATCTTCATGAGAGCGCGAATGCACCCAGGGGTTGGGCTGACCTGTAGATTTATGGGAAAGAAATAATAATCAGAAACAAAAAGAATGGATAGGAGAAAGAAAGAGGTAAGTCACAGTTTCCTGTTAAAAAAAAAGAAAGAAAGAAAAGTGGTTAAGTGGCTTTAGCAATAGAGCAAAAGGCAAGAGGAACTATGAGAATCTTAACCAGAACCAGTTGCCCCTTTAAGTAGATTTTGACACAAATGATCCTGACTGTGTCAGAGTAAAAGTACGCTCCGTAGGGTTTTCAATGGCCGAATTATCAAAATTAGATCACCAGAAATTTCTTCTGAGGCACTTCTGGGTGAACTTCAACCTACAACATTTTGGTAAGCAGACAAGTGTATTAGACCATTTGTGTCACCCAGGGAGTCCATCAGAATACTTGATCTTGGAACCAGTCAACTTCTAATGTATACTTCTGTTCTGCATAGCAATACAGGTGATCTCTGGATTGAAAATGAATTATGTTCCTTAGTATGTCTTTAAGTCCAATTTGGACATTTGTACATAAATCAGAACAGTTATGCACAATTCATTTCTAAGGACAGCCAACTGTCTCAGTATATACAAGTGTACATTTATATGCATGAAAACATTTATAAAACACTTCCAGATAGACTAAAATGTCTTTAATATTATAATTACATAATAATAATGTTTTGTATGTACCTCAAATTTTAATGAGGGACTTCAAAAGTTCATGGAAAATGGAATGAAAAGATAATGGGATTTTCCCACAAGCTTTACAAGCCCCTCATATAATGGGCTTTATCAGGGTTAGTTAATAACAATGGGTTGCACATAAATGGGATGTTCATAAGCCATGGACTGCCTGTTTCTTCAAATGTCCCTGTCAACATTTGATATCTATGTCATTGTGATTCCGCCCTGAAACTTAGACACAGTTTCAATGCAATATAACATGAAATGAGATAATGCACGTGGAAGCAATTTGCAAAGTTAAAAGCCCCATAAAAATGTAGGTATTATTAAAGTTTAATGACACCGTTAGAACATTTTCCAACTGGTTATTTGACCCTGTTTCTAAAGGAGGTCTGCAGATATACTTCCTTTGTATATAATTAAAAAACAAAACCAGAATCAATATCAACTTGTCTGGAATCTCTGAGACTGAGGCCTGCTTAGAAGTCGGGAACTGTGGAGGCATGATCTTCAGGCATCTGCAGCTTTGCAGTTCTGGATCCAGTGTTGAATTGTGCCCAGGATCCAAGGAGAAATCCTTGCAGTAGTTAAGAGGAGCTAATATCCAATGAGATGACTTGACAACAATGGATTAAAATATAACACAATTGAGAGAATCGCATAGGACTGAGCAGTGTTTCATTTTGTTGTATGGGTGTCTCTATAAGTTGGAACTGATGCATCTAACAACAATACTCATCCAACAACTAAGTGCTATTTGTGGTGAAAGGCAACATGATGCTCCTAAGTTAATAGATGCTAAACCAACGTCGACTTTCTTAGGTTTATTAAAATTTTTAATTTGATTTCAAAATACTATTTAAAACAGTGTGGACCAACAAACAAGGGAAAAAAATACAGAAAGCTTTCTTTTCAAGATTAGACACAACATGATTTTCATATTTGGTTGGTTGTTTTAGTCAAATAACTTGTAGGTTGCTGTATTTATGTTCCCAACCAGTAGTATTTGAACTTTTTTGTAGAGCAGTACTAAAGATCTATGGTCTTGTCTAGGTCTCCAGGTGACATCTAACTGTCATGAACATTCAGATACGGACAAAGCATGCCACTGCTGCAAAGGTGCGACAGTAGAAAATATTTCCACATGAACGGATACTTTCAACTGCATGCATAGAGCTAGTCTCTGCCATTTTATCCTTTACTTAGAAATGTTTAATGTAAGGCTTTGTTTTCTCTTAACCTTTTCATGATTTTGCACTGTATATTAGCAAATTACCTTTTCCCCCCAGAAAATAAAAGCAGTTTCATGTTTATTTATTTACTTAGCATTTGTAGTTGTCTATTTTTAGGTGTTTTTTCCTCCTCTTTCTAAAGTCTTATGAAATTTTTCAAGATTCTAGAAAACCTGGAAGATTTTTATAGTGAATATGCTTGGGGTGCTGTAGGTTAAGTACTGGACGGCTAACTGCAAGGTCAGCCTTTCAAACCCACCAGCTGATCCTCAGAAACCAATACAGGTTGCTATGAGTCTGAACTAATTTCACAACACTTAACAACAACCCCCAGACTGTAATTTAACATTTCCCTATACTTGGTAAATAACACATCTAGTCATCTGTTTATCAATCTGCCTTATTTTTCATGCTTTAAAAGTAATATTCTTTATGTTTTTTCTTTTCCTGATGACCAGGTTTGAGTTTAACAAAAAGGGATGCAATATGATTAACAACAAAAAAGTTAATGTGCTAAATATTCTCAGTCAAATAAGTGAAAACATATCATTGGACTCTATAAAAAGATTAAGGGCTTGAATTAGTATCCATGAATTATAAAATGTATTTTTAAATAAAAGTAGAATAGAACTGAGAAGTCTAGTGACTTTTGCTTTTGAGATGACAATATTACCATTGTGTTTATTCTCCAGATAGGATATGCTGTTGAAAATGACAAATTTTAAAGAATATTCTGCAGCATTGTTTTATCAATTTTATTTTAATTAATTTTTTAATTTTTATTATGAATTGAGTGAAAATTTACAAAGAATGTCATCAGTTTTGCATTCAACAAATCATAGACTTTGCTTCACCTCAATTATTGCCACTTCTTCCATGCAACAACAGTTTTCCCACTTCTTTGTGGTTCTTAGCTCCATTCTACCCCTATTCCCATCCCTTCTCAACTGTGTCCTTCAGTAATGCTGCCTTTTTGATCTTCAATGATTGGCCATTCCATTGTGGGCATACCCTACCAGTGCTGTTGTCCTCCCTACATATCTCTTGCCCGATTGGCTGAAAATTGGACCACGAGGGTGAGTTCTGTTCCAGACCTGAAGGGTAGTCACGAAACATAGTCTCGAACTCCTCCAGTTCCTTTCTGACCAGTAAGCCTGGTCTTCCTTTATAATTTGTGTTTTATTCCACATTTTCTTCCAATCTGGGACTTTCTAACATGATCCCTTTCAGAACAGTTGATAGTGGTAGCCAGACACCATTTAGTTCTTCTGGTCTCAGGGTCGCATTGACTGATGTTCACATGTTCCTTTGGTCCATTTTGTTGTTGTTAAGTGCCGTTAGGTCAGTTCCGACTCATAGTGACCCTATATAGGGTTTCCAAGGAAGGAGCAGCTGGTGAGCTTGAACCACCGATCTTGAGGTTCAAACTGACTTTGCAGTCTAGTGAATTAACCCACAGTACCACAACAGGAACTAGTTAATTCCAAGCATCTTCAAACTTTCATCACTCTCCTTTCTTCTAGCAGCGCTGGTTTTAAAACTTCTTTTATTCACAGGTATCTCAAGGCATTCACGTAAAAAAGAAGAAACAATTTATATTCTCCATACAGAATTAATGAGGAATTTCAAGTTCTTATTCATTTTATTTATTTGGATGACTGCAATCTTAAAAATCATTGTCCACAGAAAATACAGTTTCCATAGCTGCCTTGTTTATCTAGTGCTGGTATAATAGAAATATTACAATTGGGTGGCTTTAATAAAAAAAAGTAATTTGCTCACACTCTGGTACTGTAGTGGTTATGAATCGGGCTACTAACCTCAGGGTCAGCAGTTTGAAACTACCAGCTGTCCTGAGGAAGAAAGATTAAGCTTTCTGCTCCCGTAAAGATTTTCAGCCTCAGAAATGCTGCATAGGGTCGCTATGAGTCGGAACCAACTCCACGGCACATAACAACCACAACAGGAGGCTGGAGGAGTCCTGTTGTGGCGCTGTGGGCTAATGCTTCAGATTGCAAAGTCGTTTGAACTTCAAGGTCAGTGGTTCAAGCTCATCAGCTGCTCCTTGGAAACCCTATATAAGGGTCACTATGGGTCAGAATCAACTCCATGGTGCTTAACAACAGCAACAAAGGAGGCTAGAAGTCTGAATTCAGGGTCCCAGCTGTAAGGGGTGGCTTTCTATCTTTGTTGAGTCTGGAAGGAAGTCCTAACTTCTGCTCCTGGACAATCTTCATGTGTCTTGACATCTCTCTTCCTTCACCTTTATTTGCTGCTTTGTGTATTTAATCTCTTCTATGTCTCAAAGATATTGATTTAAAACACATGACACAGGGACACTGTCTTACTAACACAACAAAGAAAAACTCATTACCAAAGGGATGACAACCACAAGTAAAGGGGTAAGGACTTATACTACATAATGGGGGGACCACAGTTCAAACCCTAACAATGACCTTGCAATTTATTCTCTAAGTTTGATGCCTTTGTTATTTGAAGTGACTTTTGATCTATTCCTTCTTCAACTCTTATATATTTGGCTTCCTTGCCAGTGCTATTATATGATGCTTTGATTGTTTTTACACTGTATACCAGTATAAAACAAGGAGTACTTGTCAATATTGAAGATGCAAAGTGGGAGTCCTTAGACAGTATGCACTACCATTTTTATCTATGAAACCTGCATAACTCTGCCTACCATGCACATGATACAAAGTATTATGATGTAGGTACTCAAGGCCTGCTTTTTGAATTGTACTTTCTGTCACGTTTCCCAATTTCTTATGAATTAAGTGAGCAGTTCCTTAGGTTGGTCACACTGGTATTCAAAGAACAAAGGAGCAAAGGAGCAAAGGAGCAAAGGAGCAAGATGGTTTTCTACATGTTAGCATTCAATTGTTGCTTTTTAACTTTGTTTTCAAAGGTTATTGATTACATTAATTCCAAAGATTTTTTTAATCTTATTGGAACCAGTGCAGTTTTCTCAGTGTGACATTTCAAAAGAGTCTCCATCTTCAAGGTAACAGGCCAGCAGAGAAAATTGAACTGCCTTAAGAATTTAAAAGAACAATGTGGCTTGAGTTAAATATATCTCTCTGAGTACT